AAGTATTTATGAATTTTCGAAAATATTCGTTCACTAGTTTTATTGTTGGAATGAAATATAGCAAGACTTGCATTGCCTACTGAGAAAGTTAGTAGCTGGTAGTCATCGGGTTAAAGTGATTTTTGCTGTGGTTGCTGGAAGTTCTTTGAAATGACTTAATTAACTGTACATGTAACTTAAATAGTCTTGTTTTTGTAAAGGTTGAAGATGGTGATAAAAAAAAAGAAATGAACCTTATGGATGGAAAAAACAAAAAAGGAAGTAAAGAAAACAATAAAAAGATCAGTTCACTCATAAAGTCAAGCCCAAAAAAAGAAGCTGAAGAACAAGAGAATGATGGTGATGAAGACAGTGATGATGCTGAAGAACATGCATCAGAAGAAGATGGTGGAACAAAATGTAAGTGAAAAAAAAGACGATAGTTTTTTTATCAAATAAAGGATGGTAACAAATCATTCTCAAGAGATGATAGTTTCTTATCAAATAAAGGCTGGTAACAAATCATTCTCAAGAGACGATAGTTTCTTATCAAATAAAGGATGGTAACAAATCATTCTCAAGAGATGATAGTCAGCATCAATATGTTCTACCCCTGTGTCATTACTGAATTGCATTCCAGCCCACTTAAACAATACACAAGACCTATTATCACAAATCAAGAATGTACTAGTACTAAAATAATAAAAGTATTTTTAATGAATCACTTGTTATATGAAGATTCTGTTCACACTTAGCTTGGACTTGGCTCTTACGACCTTTACCTCTTGGTTGGTTTAGGATACTGTACTCACTGTCTTCATTTAAAGGTGAAGGCTGATGTTGAATGCTGATAATTGTTTTACTTATGCAAAACATTTTGTTTTATTTTCAGTGGGACTCTTTGATCAGCCACTCGAGATATCAGGAAGCAGAGAGAGAAAGAAAGTCCAACGCTTAGAGCTTGCCTTTGCCATTCCAAGTAAGGAAAAACCTGAAATTCCTGAAGGGAAAGGACAAAAATTGGGAGACTGTCCTCGTAGTAAGTACTTCTTACTGGTGTATTGTTGTTTTCAATTATTCATGCAGAAAATACTTCATACTGGTTATTAGTCTGTATCTCTCTCTCCATAAAATAACTTGTAATAATAACTATTACATATAATTATTTTATGTGGTAACTGGGTTATTTGTGACACAACAAAAACTTGTATTGTTATTTGTTCTTTTGTCCTTTAGTTAATGAATTCATGATACTTATGGCATTCTGTACACTGTGAGTACAGGGTTTGATATTACCACACCTTAGTAATACTTGTTGTGTTATAGTATTCTGTACACTGTGAATACAAAGTTTGATATTACCATAACTTAGTAATACTTGTTGTGTTATAGTATTCTGTACACTGTGAATACAGGGTTTGATATTACCATAACTTAGTAATACTTGTTGTGTTATAGTATTCTATACACTGTGAGTACAGGGTTTGATATCACCATAACTTAGTAATACTTGTTATGTTATAGTATTCTGTACACTGTGAATACAGGGCTTGATATCACCATAACTTAGTAATACTTGTAATGTTATAGTATTATGTACACTGTAAAGACAGGGTTTGATATTACCATAACTTAGTAATACTTGTTATGTTATGGTATTCTGTACACTGTGAATACAGGACTTGATATTACCATAACTTAGTAATACTTGTTGTGTTATAGTATTCTGTACACTGTGAATACAGGGTTTGATATTACCATAACTTGGAGATACTTGTTATGTTATAGTATTCTGTACACTGTGAATA